GGGGGGGGGAGCACTACAAACTAAGATCTTGATGAATCATTACAAACTGAGATCTTGATGGCCCAACCTGTGCCTTTACCAGCCTTCACATCTGTAGCAGCCAATACCGGAAGCGTTCGATCCGGAAGCAAAGGATGACGAACAAGGCGCCCAATGTATTTTACATATCGCTCATCATCTGGATGAACAGCTAAGGCGCAATCAGCAAATACTGTTTCGGGGCGTGTTGTCGCCACCTCCAAATAATCCATCTCCGACATGCTGAAACTGTTATCAATTTTTCCATCGCAAAGTTATTTTCCGGTGTTTCAAGTTCGCAAATGCCCAAAGCAAATAGGTCCAACCTGCCTGTATTCACGAGTTCATAACGAATCCGATGCATAATGCCAACTTCAATACATTTTTTCTTTGATTCGGCAGTCGAAATTTCGAATGATCCCATTTTCCCAACATCCACGATATCCACTTCCTGGAAAAAACATCAAAATGACAAATTCATCTTTTGATGCATTTGCTTTTAGTCTTTCAAACTCAATATGTGTTTGCTTTTTTGCTGCAGCATTCAGAATGAAACTTGCGCAAATCCGTAAACCTTAGTTCTGGTGCACATGATCCACAACAAACACTAACAATTTAAATTATGCACAATTACGCACGTCAATTTTTACCGGCTTTTACAGCCCACTTTTGTATAAATTTTAAAGAAAGTTAATTCCACTGTCCTCGAAAAAAAAGACTATCAAGAATAAAATCAGCGTCATAATATCTGCTAGCAGCTTATCATTTACATATCAATACTCCTGGTATGACAACAGTCAAAATTCCCGACTGTAAAGGCAAGGAGTCCGCTTGAGCTGTGGAGCATACAAAAATTACCTGATCCGAAATTGCACTTTGCAATGTTGGACACCAATTGACCATGCGCAAATCGTTGAAAATGAGACGCTGTGAATGTAGCTCGCAGAACGCCGTAGTCGCAGCTTCAGAAAATTTCTGAAATCATCAAATCGTTCAAGAGGGACTCTAAAACTTCACTGAAAGTAATACATTTCAAGAAGAGAATTTGGCTATTCATTTTTTTTAAGGCAAATATAAGAGCTGGGCGAAACAAATAGTGGTACGGTATGCACGTTATGCCAAAAGAATCAATATACTAGCCAACATGTACCTTCTTCACGTACTTTTGTATGCCTGTAGACTTTCAATGAACTGGGTCGATTCGTAGGGTAACGGCTTTCAGGTCGCAATTTGGACCAACGTTGAGAACTAAGAATATCTACAGTCACACCGACAATTTCGTCAATCAGTGCGAACAGCAGCAAATAATGAGAGGATTTTTGGAAGTTTTCGTATGATACTAATCTTAGGAAGAAAAATGATCTATTAATTTCTGGTGGAAGAAATTTGGCAACAAAATGCCTATTGCGCAAGCATTTTCAAATTCGGACAGATATGCATGAGGTACAGGTTAAGTAGTGTTACTCTTGTGTTGAATGTCGGCGATTCGACTCTGCCAATCGGAAAATTAGTTCCTCCACAGTTGGTTTATTCGTTTCGGTGGTAAAATGGTATTGGCGCATGCCGAACAGTTTAACAGCAAGCAGCTTATTTCTAGGAAATTCTCGAAAGAGGGAGCACAGAAACCCATGCCAGCACTGCTAGCATTTGTTATCACTTGACCTATTACAAAGTACTTCCGTCGCACCTACAAAGTTAGTAATGACGAGTCTCCACTAATAATGTCAGATGTTACAAAAATAGTCCCAAAAATATAGAAAAGTTTTTGACAAGCATATTAAACCCAGGCTGAAGCGCACCAAGTCTGCCGGTGCGATCATGTGTTTTTGCACCAAACTTGAATCAGGTTAACTGCATGAACGGTTGTTGCTTCACACCTACCCTGTGCGCTCACTACCGTATATAAATTTTTTTTGAGGCGTTCGTACTTGGGACCTAGGCGTACGCGGGTGATTATATTAAAATGGGAGTGTCGCACATGGCGTGGGCACATATTCCTGCATTTTCTAGCTTTTCTGGTTCTCGAGTTGAAAGTGGGTGACAAAAAGTGTGGACACACAGACACACACACACAGCCCCCTTCCCAATATGGATTTTTTTAATTTGCATATAAACAAAAACGCATAAAAATAGAGGCTCCAAATCTGCATACATCATCTAACGTATAGTAGGAGTTTGACCAATCCAGAGTTGCGCCGAGTGCTTTCAGTTGTTTTGATATGTCGGCCATGCGTCTGTAATATTAATTTCCCAGTAAAAGTTCAAAGACGTATATAACAACTCAAAGACGAAATTCCTTCTCTCCCTAGAGTAAGTAACTGCCTACTGAATGCCTGTATGGATTTATGTGGATGTGATATCCGCTGAATAGGAAAAGTAACACAAAAACACAAATAAAAGCAAGCCTACTTATGCTTCCACTGTTCACACAAATCCAGAAATTCTTGTCGCGTAATCTGATATCTCCGTAAATTTTTTTCATTCCACAACATTCTTTCGACAACAACTTGTGTAGCGATGCCTGCATGGTCGAATCCTGGACACCAGGATACCTAAAGCCAGTAGATTATCCTAAAGAGAAAGCAAAAAATAAAGAAATGCCCGCTTGGCTTCATCATGCCAAAAATCTGATGACAATCTCATGCAACAACTATCGAAAAATTTGGATTTTCGTTGCTGATACGTCGAAAAAATGCAAGATGCTCAAAAAATTGAAGCGTACCTGCTGTCCAAGAAGGCGGCGATAGCGGCACATCGTATCCTCCAGAGTGACTGTTAGTGCATGCCCAAGATGAAGGTTGCCAGTGATGTTTGGTGGTGGTAAGATCATACTAGAAAACTGATTCGAGAGATAAAATATTCCAAAACAGATGCTTGAAACACTACTACCCTGTGGTATTTCTACATGAAATGGTTTTGTTTCTTAAAACTCGGACACTTATACTGGCTTTACTGCTCAAATCCTGAAAACTTAAAACAGCTTTACTGTCTGTAATTCGAAAATTTGGTACGTCTTGGTACTTAAATCTCGCACTTAAATAGCTTTTTGGCTCACAGCCCGTGTACCTAAATTAGCTTCATTTCTTAAACTGGCAAAAATTAGTTTTATTGCCTAAACCTAAAAAAAAAAACTTAACATTATTACTCACAAATTAAATGATTAAATTAGCTTTGTTACTCAAAAAATGTCAATCGAATTATTTTAAAAATGTGAAATTTGAATATCAGAGACGCTTTTACTGCTTGAAGCCTATTTTAATATCCGAAAATGATTTTAGCATCCGAAAAACTGATCGACAAATTACTTTTACTACATGTAACCAATCCATCCACTAACGTAAAAGCCAATCCTTCCGCTGCTTATTCATCCGTTTTAATGGTAAACTGGTAATGATGTAAAACAGAAAATTAAAACCCACCAGGTTGCTTCTAAATAATTGCGGGAAAAGGATGTTGGTTCCTGTTAACAAGTGCTGCCATTTGGGGATTGTTCTTAGCCTGTCTATGCCTGTTACACAGAAATATGGAGGATATATTATTGACTTTGGATAAGCAGGTTAAAGAAATGGAATTATTAATGTCCCCCTAAAATTGGAATAATTGAACTGCTATCATTATTGAAAACCTAAATATGTGAATCACTACGCTTCTAGCTAAACGTAATTTTGAAAAATACCGAAAACATTCAGGATTGCATTCAGCTGAATTAGCTGAAGCGGCGGCATGCGCTGTGCGTCTTTCATGATCTGATAGGACGGCATCGATGTCAAACGAGCTCCTGTAAATCAAAACAATCTAGCAACCGAGAGCGCTGAAGAAAATTTTCGAATTTTTCTGAATTTCAGCAACCTGTCCCAAACCCGAGAAATAGAGCCGTGGTGAGACTGTGCCATCATGGACGAGGATTAAAATAAAGTACCTTTTCTTCCGTGAAATCCCACCACTGTTGCTGCTAGAATAAAGCCGTCTCTGCACGCCCAAACGAAACGTTGTCCCAATCATCACGATTTCACTGATCTATACCCATACAAAACACCGGCATATTCCACCACCGAATCACAACATGTTCATTAAAATCAATGCATCCAAAACCTGGCCTGGAACAAAGCGCCACTGGACAGATACGTGAGCTAACATTATCGCAGCAACACCAACATCAAGTGTACGAGTTCAATGAATTTTGTCCTACAGCACGAAAGCGTTTCTAAATATGTTCTGCAGCCACTAAAAAATTTGTCCTCCCTTCCACACGAAAAATGCGAGACTGCGCAAGAAAAAAGGAGCGAGAAATCCACCAGCAGAGGTGATTTCAAGCCAAAATAACAGCAAAATTAGGCCAGTCGGTTTAAAGCCCCATTCAAGGAAGTACAAAAAACCTATGTGGACGGATACCAAATTCGACCAAACAATGAAACATCGTTGAAAGGATCTTGAGATCCAAAAGCAAAAAAAAAAAAAAAAATTGGCTAACGCACGAGCTGCCTGAGGCGTTTTTTGCATAGTTCCCCGCAGTCTTAGTCGTCACCGGCACACGTTTTTCCGGCAAAATGCTTCTAGCTAAACAAATTAAAACTGCCCGCCAGGACTGTCAGGGAACTTTCAGTTTTCTAGCTTTCCTGGCTCCCGAGTTAGCAACTTACCCGAGAAAACTTTCACGAGCCCATACGTGGGCACCACGCATACCCGGGGGTAGATCTGAGCTCATTAATATCTACGCGGACGGGGGACGTCCCCTTAAAATTTCAGCTTTCCAGCTTCTCGGGTTTCCGAGTTAGCAGCTCGCCCGTAAAAAACTTTGGCAGGCCCGTACGTGGGCACTATGCGGGTAAGAGCGTCCATTTTGGGGACTAAGGCCCGTACATGCATGTAGAACTAGTTCCCAAAATTTCAGCCTCGTAGCTTTCGTAGGTCTCGAGATGAAAAATCGGTACAAACGAACACACAAATACACACACAGACAACCCCTCGTCAATATGCATCTTCTGCATCGCAGAGCTGCAAAAAACGCATAAAAATGAGATTTTGCACCATTCCCCCAGATCACAGCACCACAAAGTCTAATTTCACAAGGCACACAACTGCACTATGGCCTGGAAACAATATTTTCATTCATTTGACTTTTACAGAAACAAAATGCCAATAGTCGGCACACCAGAGTGAAAACAATCATCAGTTCGCTTCCACATAAACCCCAGGAAAGAATGACGGGCACCCTGTCTGTGAGAGGTTGTAACTTGCAGCACACTATCACCTGGCCACTTCCGGTCATCTTCACATCCCATGTAAGTGAGGAAAAAATGATTCTTAACTCTGGATACGTGCCTCACAATTTCACATTCATTAATTTTTACCGACTTGAAAACAAAAAGCAAACGAAGCATCTGCCATATCACCACCATTTGTACCGTAAAAATTGGTAAAAATGGTACCATCAAGTACCCCACCTTCGACATATCACTGAATTCATGAACAGTGTTTATTCGGAACAACACAACAACCAGCAGCTTCTCAAACAGCACAGCTTAAAACAACAGGTCTTAAACAACTTCAGAATTGTCTATGTCGAACGGCACATGCGCAGCATTGCTCCTGATTCTCGCTCGCTGTCCAATGCCGGATCACCCATTCAGTTCATTTTTTAAAAAAAATGCAACGCTGTGTTTCCCCTTGGCGTCCGCATGCTGCGATTGGACATCATCGCAATGTAACACCAAAACTTTCGACTAATTTCTCCCTAATAAGCGAATGAATCGGATTCACGTCTTCTTTGGTGAGGGTACCTGAATGACTTCGATAAACCAAACGATAGGTCTGACTTCTTCTCATCGTTTTTGGATGCATGTATGTATCCGTTACTTTCACCTGCAAAGCGCATTCTTCGCATAAAAAACGATGACAAACCAACTAAACTGATTAGTTCCGATTTAAAAATGAAATGCAATAGGTGCAAGTGACCGAAGGAAAGATTATTCATGCAACAGCGGGGAAAAACTTTTGAAAGCTCAGATCTGAGAAGAAATCAGTTTAATTCTGTAATAAATGCTATTTTGCCTAGCAATTCATTTAAAAGCAAGAATGTACCTGCTCAATGAGTTCGCCACCTAAAGAGCGTATCAGATCGTATGTTTCCGCGACCATTGCTTCTGGGCTAATACCCTCTGGAAGCCAAAACGATAAATCATACAGTATTTGCGGATGAACGCTAACTGGGACATATTTAATATCATCATTTGGCGATTTACCAGCAAACTGTGACAGGAAACCGGAATCACGGCTCCAGAATAAACGAATATCCGGGATTTCATACAGGATCTACAACACCAACGCCACTTTATATGGACAAATAAATAAGAAGTCGCTGATAATCACTTCGTCTTTTTCAAAATTCCATTCCAAATTAGTGGATTCAGAGTTAGACAGCCTTTGAAAAAAAAAAAAAACAAGTTTCATGCTTGGAGGTTCAACTGGTAATCGATGTAGAAAGCAATTTTCCCAGTTGTTTTGACCAGTGCTTCATCGCCTGACGGCCAGCCTGACTGCCTCGTTGTCTGTTTCGTTTCCAGAAGAGAATGCTAGCTTTGCAGCCCCCCAAAAAAAGTACTTCGCTGGATCTATCAAAAAAACGAAGTCGACCTAATTTATTTTCAAGTTTACTGAATCCAAACTACTTTTGCGGAAAGCACCAAGGCCGCTCCTCGCCCCCTAAAAAAAGAAGAGCTCCGATTCGACTGAAATTATAATTTCTTAATAAATTCTGCTTTAAAATCAAAAGGATAAGTACAACTACTAGAGAGATCCAAGTCATTATCTAAGTAGTATAAATTGCTCTACCACTCACCATGGCAAGTCGTTCGAGACCAAGGCCAAATGCCCAACCAACCCTATCAACGATGCCAGCCATTTTAAGGAGATTTTGCTCGATAACACCACAGCCAAGCACTTCCATCCATTTGTTGTCATAATACATTTCAAGCTCGAACGACGGATGTGTGAACGGGAACTCAGCACTCACCCACCTCAGCTTATGCTCACTGCCGAATATGTGCCCACACAGATTCTCCAGTGTTTCCTGAAACACACAGAAGCGCTGCTGATGCAAAAAAAACAAGCGCCTTCAAGCTCGAAAAGTTGATCTGCTGAATGCACCACAGAGAAAAGCCAATTTCTCAACGATTAGTTTAAATAGTGCATAAGCAGTGGCGTGTCCAATACAAAGATGAAAAAAACTATTCATCCTAACCAATAATCGATTTCTGACAGAGAGGCAACACCTCAGACGGAGCAAAACAAGGAGGTCGGCTCGAAGGAGAAATAAAAAGCTGAAAGGAATGATGCGGAAGTAAGATTTACAAATCCACCTTTAAGTCTTTTGTCAGAAGCTGCGTCACATCGCCTGCGTGCTGTTCCTGGCCTTCCGCAGTTCGTAGACCGTTCGTAAGGAGAGTTTTCTGCAAAATGGCGAGTTTATCACTTATCATCTCTCGTTTCATCGTTTTAGTGGTCATGCTCTGTTTACACAGATTTGTCGCTCCATTTCGTAAAATGATACTTTCAATCATTGCTAATAACCTCAAGCATTCGTTTACTAGACGTAACAGTTTAACGCTCAAAATTTTCGAAAAAATAATGGTACTTTACCGGATGCGGATTCAACGGGTCACCGAATAATTCAGTCGCAGTGAAGAGACGAACACCCTCAACTTGATGGAAACATGGAAAATGAGTTCTGTCAATAGCATCACGTCGATAAACGTCACCAATAACCAGGAAATTATCCAGGCCTTAAAAAGCAGTAGTAATCAGCTTCGATGGCCGGCTGCTGTTCCAACGTTACGTCCCTTCTTGTCACTGCTGCAGCAGATAACTTTACCATTTTTCTCTATTTTGGGCTCTTTCACATAATCCCATCCAGGAGCTCAAAGGGATCTTTCCACTGTAGTGGCACGTGGTCCGAGCTTTTCCCCTCACACTGGGTGGTACCATTCAGCAGTCCGCTTTGCTGCGTGTCATTTTCGTCAAACGGCTAGTCCAATTTTTTCCCAGAGCACTGACACCAGCACACTGGAACAACCACATACTCCGACTGGGATGCACAGCAAGTGGCTGAAGCCTAATATGCGTCGTTTTTTCGTATTTCATTAGCTCATCGCTGCTCAAAAAGCGTGGCAAAAAGTGAAACAGTAGCTAAACTGAGTCGGTGGTGCTAGCAGTTATCACTTTACTCACAGAGTTACCAGAGAAACATGCCTTGCTTGATAAGCGAGTGCTGATGGGCAGATGTGTGTGCTCTCAAGCAGTGGTCCTTATTGACGTAATAGGTATCGAGATCCGATCGACTGACGTGATCCCACGGTACAAGCAACGAATCAAAATTCTCAAATACGGAAACCACACGTGGCTGATTATCAACAACAGCGAACATGGGAGATAATCCACCTAAAGAAATTCAGAAAATTATTCCACAAACAGGCAACTTCCTAAAGAAAAATCATTGCAAAGGCAATGGAAGAAATAGGCAATAAATTTTTTGCGCTAACGACAAGTGTCTCTACCCTACTGCGGCAAAGGACGCAGGATGCCACAGATGAGGTGATTGTGGAGAGCGCAAGGAATCGAGACCGGGAGGAGGTTGAGTGGGTGACAGGAAGCGGTGATGGAAAGGATGAAGAAGTGTGCTCTTGGTTTTAGCCACGGATGCCCGGGTTGGGGAAGGGCTGAAATACTGCTTGCTTCTACAGCGCTCTTACAGTGGTGGTGGAGTGGAGCTCAGATGTTGCTTTGCAGACAAGATTTCAGGACAGAGTAAAGAAAAGGAGGCAAGCCAGGAGCTCGAGGCAAAAACTGCGCGGATGGCGGTAAAGAGGAAGAGAAAACAAAGCACTACGAAGAAAAAGTAAATTAAAGCAAGCCTGGATGCAGGAGTAAAAGCAAAACAAAGTTTGAAGCTATGAGTAAAAGTAAAAAAAAAAAGTAAAAGCAAAAGAAAAACCCTGTCGTGGGCGCTGCCAATCCTGGCTTACTCATATCTTGGGTATGCCAAATTAGGAGTATTTTAGATAGGATTTTGATGAGCAGCACAGTTATCCAAAGTTACCTTTCACCTGGAATTTGCTGTACATGAAGCTGACAATGCGCTGTTTGAGCAGGCTGAGAGGATTATCACGTTCGAAAAGTAATCGTCTTTGTAAAGTTTTTAAAACCGCCGGTGATAAGTTCCATTTCTCATCCGGTACCAACGATATTCCTGGAATGAGGGATCTTCAATCCTGGCTTGCGATGATGAGAAGCGACTACAGCGTGCACATTTCGGCACTGTGCTTCCCGGTTTCTACCCGAACAACACAATTTAAATTCCTCACGCACCGGGAACACGCAGTGAATAATTCTGAACCAAAAAAGTGGTACCATCGAGTTCGAAAGTAGCCGGTGGTGCTAGTTTCGGACGACTCGTTCCACAATACGACCTGCTAACAGTTCGCGAGCTGTTCACGAGTAGTGCTGTCGGCCAGCGACGCATCGGTTCTGAAATAAGAAAAAAACATGTCATCTCAGCGCGGCAGGAAAAAACGGCCGAAATAATAACGCACCGAATCCGAAACAGGGCTACTTAAACGACAGGAGCAATAACAGAACTGCAGCAGAGTGCTGTTGAGGGCAAGCCGGCCGCACAGTGTTGCCTCGCTCGCATGTACCTCACCAGCATCGCTCTAGCGGCTGCTACTCTTGCTGGGCCCCACAGTCCTCGGTGAGTGGCATGCACGGGTGAAATTTGTTATTTTTAAACAACGCGTAATTACTAGCCTTACAAAGCGCAAAAACGAAACAGGCCCGAATAGTACAGAAAACAACCTCCCGGCGTAACGCACCCGAAATAACACACTGAAAACCATCATTTAAGTCAATGTAATATTATCAATTCAACAATTATAACTCGGATCGGCTCGGCTCATACACATGCCACAAAAAATTTTTTCTGCCGACGGCGAGTAGAGCTGCCCAACGGCGGATGGCGGCAGTCTGAATGTGGGAGATGGAAGTGGAGGTGGTATGTGGCGGGTTTCGTTCGAGGCAAGGAAGTGGACTAGGACAGGTGGATATAAGGACTAAATGGCGTAGATCCTTTGCCGATTGACTAATTAACGTACATTTGAGGGGGGATGGGGGGCGGTGAAGAACGGAAAAGATGAGAAAGTGTGCTCCTGGGACTTCCCTTTTTATGAAACTGATGCTTAGGTGAAGCTGTCCCACAAAAACCCGTCATTAAGCTTTCTCATTTATAAAATTGATGCTTAGATAAAGCTGAGAGCGAATAAGTTTTATGAAGTGGGCAAAAACAGGGTAGAATGGATGCCTGGGGATGAAGTCAGCCTTTGCTCCTGTGAGA